GATTTGATCAAAAAATCTGAATTGAGCATCAAGACCTGCAGAGTGAACGTAGCCTTAGAGTGGGCTTTAGCTGGGACAGTATATAGCCGACTTTAGTGTAAATAACTTTATAATAAGAATGTTAAAACGTTGTTCTTTTGCACATGACTTGGCTTTTTTCCCTCCGCTGTCACAGCAGGAATCTGGGCGAGCGTGTGGATGTGTTTTTGTATGATTACACCATAAAATCAGAATCTCATCCAGCCACAGTTAGTGAAGTCCAGGTTAATGACATCGGCCCTGCAGGCAGTGATAAGGATGCCTTTCCAGAGAACGGGCCCCCCGAGTCCCTTTTCTTTACCCAATCACACGATGGCAGGTGCTTTATATCACATCCTTTTGTGCTGACAATTTTGCTAGAGCTGTGTTTCAATTGCTTTACAGATGTGTGTAGCCAGGGTGAAATTGATTTCTATTTAAAGAAACCTCCTTTACTTATTTCCTCCCTACAGGCCAAATAAAAGGCACGCTGATTGACTTTACATAGAAACTTCTTGTCATTTGATAAATCCTGAGCTCCGAACATTCGCTTCTTTCTGTGTGAACAGTACCACTGGTACATGAAATAGATCCCAGCACCTCTCCTTCTTTTATGTGCGCTGAAAACTCTTCCCATGAATTTAATTATTCACAATCAATACACATTTGTCCAAACCACCATCCTTCAGCTGCTAAGTAGACACAATAATCTGACTCCTTATAAGATAATCAATACCACTTAGATGAAAAAGTCCCCGGACTCTTTTTTTGTTTAATTAATTTAGATCAGATGTCATTTAAATACATTTATTCTTCTCTTTTCCTCCGTTTTTCGTAGACTTTGCTTCTCTTAACCTTTCACAAATATAGAATTTCCATCCCATTTGGGCTGATGCCACATCCCCAGCACACAGACAAAGGCCAGGGAATCTGGAGTTGAAAGATTAGACTCTTTTAATCTCTTTTCGAGGTAGGAGGAGGTATGAGGGCTTTCCTTTTTCTCTCTGTCTTGGTGGTAGCTCAGCTGCTTTGCCTTTGTACAGCTGATTGAAGGAAGGCATTTAACTCACATGGAGGGAAGAAGTGTTTGTGCATTGATTCGTGTCTTTTGGTTGCTTTTGAGAACTGGAGAAGACTGCCTAACGTTTAATATCATGTGCAGAGTGGAGGACTGTCTGCTTGGGAGGGGAAGCCACACTTTCTGTATACTGACCTGTCTGCTCCCAGAGCCGGTCCAATATATAAGAACATTTTGTTATCCTGCTATCAGACCTCTTATTTGCCTTCATTCTTTACTATTTAGAAGATTTATAACATTTCTAAATGGGACATTTGGGCAGGGGTCTTTCAGAATTTAGTTTATATTCCATTTAGTTTCTTGTTTTTTGTCTTAAAGCCTGATTCTTTGCGATGCGTTTGTTCTGTCTTTAGACTGATGGATTAAAAAATGATGATAAATTAAGATGATGAATATGATAAAGGTGACGTCAGGAGATTATATTGCTGTAAGAGAGAGAGTCCACTTTTGAATCTGTTACCATCTAACCATCTGTCAAAACTGGCACAGTTTTAGGTGACAGAAGCAGATCAACACAGGTACAAGTTTCTCTAGTTTTTATTTACTCAGAATATTTTTATTGAACAATTGTGGATACGGTTAACAAAACAAGAGAGAAAAGGGAAACATGAAAACAGGTTACACTGAATACGAAACAGAACTTCTCACGTTGGAACATAAAAAAATAAAATTAACAAAACTTTTCTCTAGTTTTTAAAACACATGAAGGTGGTGTAATAGGTGGTGTAATAGGTGGTGTAATATGTGGTGTAATAGGTGAAGTAGTAGGTGGTGTAATAGGTGAAGTAGTAGGTGGTGTAATATGTGGTGTAATAGCTGAAGTAGTAGATGGTGTAATAGCTGAAGTAATGGGTGGTGCAATATGTGGTGTAATAGCTGAAGTAGTAGATGGTGTAATAGCTGAAGTAATGGGTGGTGCAATATGTGGTGTAATAGGTGAAG